GTGCAGCAGAGCCACTGGAGATGAACATTCTTGTATATTGATAATACTATCGGAGACGACATCTTCAAGTGTTGATTGTATCGCAATTTGGCTTCCTGTCTCTTATACACATCTAGATGTGTATAAGAGACAGCACACACACACACACACACGCACACACACACACACACACACCAGCAATCAGAAAAAAATGAAAAAAAACGAAGTTCCCTTTTTTTACTGTGTTTCTTTTGATTTTCATACTTGTTTTTTTCGCTTTCTATTTTTTTTTTAATCCCAAAAAGCATCAAAATCCAAAAAACAAATATGGGAAAGTAGGGAATTTCAAACCCTACAACCCCATATTTTTATTTGCTTTTTAGGCCTATTATTCTATTTTTTTTTAATCACAGGGCTTTTTGGCCGCGGTTGGCCCCCGCGGGCATGACCATGACCGCATGCGGTAAATGGCCCTCGGTCATGACCGCGGGTGATACATAGAATTTGTTGTATCCTGTCAACATGTGATTTGCAGGGGAGCATGCACAGGGGGGGCATAGGAACAATCCCATCACCACAAGACCCTCCTATACCCACCTGTGCCCACCTATACCCACCTATACTCACCTATACACTCCTATAGACACCTATACCCACCTATACTCTCTCATACCCGCCTTTACCCTCCCTCCCCTGCCCAGGGGGGCATAGGAGCAATCCACCTATACCCATCTACATCCTCCCATATCCGCTTTCACAGGGGGGGCATAGGAACAATCCCATCAGGACAAGACCCTCATACACCCACCTGTGCCCACCTATATCCCACCTATACCCACCCACCACCTCCCATACCCGCCTTTACCGACCTGTACCCACCTGTATTGGCAGAAGACTAACGCAGGGGACCACTGATAGACAGTTGCCAGATGCACAACATACCAATAGTGATTCCTGAAAAAGCCAACACCTGTGTCCATGACTGTTTGACAGGGGAGTCTGTTAAACCACCACTACCTCCGGCCCTCTTTTTGCCAACGCGGAATCCTCCTCCGCACCAGGCTTTGTCGAACCGCCAGTGCGCCTTTTCTTTCTTTTTCTTTCAGGGTGCGCTGCCAGCCATTTGATCCAGTAGCACTGTCCATCCAAAGTCTTCGGAATGTCGTATTTTTGATTCTCGGCGTTGCCTGGGAAAGGAAGTGGTGGTTTGACAATCTCTCCTCACACAATGGGAACATCTCCGCTGAAACAATCACACATATACTCGAGCTGAGGCCTTTTGTCGACCGAATCTGGCCTGAATTACGGTCAAGAAGCATCTGGGAAAGTCTTGATCACGCGTATGCCCTACAGGGAAAAGAGATATCTCAAGCAAGCAGGCCCAAAGGGGACAATGAAATGCATATGCATACTCACCGCAGCATTAAGATCAACGCCGATCTCATCCAGGACCTGGCTCACAAGTTCATCGGCCTCAACCTCCTCATCGTCACCCTCTAGAACATCGTCAACTGCATCTCCCATCACCTCCGTCGTCATTTCCATCTTTTCATTCTGCTTTTCAAACTCTCGCATGATATTCTGAAGAGCTGGTAGGTTCAACTGCTTGTTCATCTGACCCATTGCCTGCAACCCGGGAGACGAAAACCGTTAGCAAAACTATCAACCATATCCCGACCTGTTTGATGGATGAAATCACATTATGATAAACAAAACATGTGCAGAGTTCAGCAACAGCATACGCATAATCGTCACATCAAATTTCTCTTGTACGTCATTCAATCAATGGCAACGCCCGGGCCGCAATTGGTAAACCATGGGACAGTCCCTGGAAAAGTGGTGACCTAATTCTCATCTTTATATTTTTCTCGAATTTGGTTGTGAATTTTGACAGGACCCTCAGACAAAAGCTGTTTGTATTACAATGTCGTACAACATATTTGTGTTTCGCATTTTTGTTGTTTCTTTTTGAAAAAAACGAAATTGCAAAAATCCGAACATGACATATGTGCGCCGTATTCGAATACAAGATACGTGCATTGCATTCGAACACAACGTACGTACGTTATATAATTCGGGGAAAATGTAGTTCAATACAATGTACATACGTTATATTTGGTAAAAAGAAGTGATTTCAGAAAACCCAATTTCCAGAGGTAATCCAAATAGAACGTACATACGTTTATTTAGGTTTAAGAAGGTAGCAACAAGAAAGGCGACAGGGGACAAGGACCATGGCAGGATCTTTAAACAATCTATACTCTGGTGAACATACTCTGATAAACACACTGCCATGGGTTGGACTCGCCAGCATTCTAACGGTCACAGGACTGTGCAATCCATACTCTGCATCGGTGGCGTTTCCCAGCATCCTAAGATTCCTAACGGTCAGAAGGGTCGGCGCAAACTGTCACTGTGGGATAAAAAAGTTAAAAAACCCAACGGTCCTTTTTCTTTCCGCAGATTTACCGTGTCCTCTGTGAGAGGACTCTCACGGCATGAGGAAGGGTTATGAGGAAGGGTTATGAGGCAAGGGTGAAGGGGAGTAGGGACCAGGGGGCATGAAGGCTGAGGGCAACTGCACGGCCTATACCACAAGGCATGACAAGGTCGATGGCATGGATAACCACAAAAGAAACAAGGGCGGGTATAAAAACAACAATCGAGCAATGTTCAGTTTTCATAAGCTGAATGGTTTTGTGTATTTTCGCTTCATTTTGGAAAAAGTTTTTTAGTATACATGTTGTACGTGTTTTTGAAAGAAGACTCGGCTCTCGAAAGAGTCGAGCCTCTTGGGAACAAGCACTGGAACCAGGATGTGAATCTTTGAAGGTGGGCTACGCACGGTTAAACGGCTATGAAGCGCCATAGAACAGGCTGACGGATCGGGCAACAATACGAAGGACAGGAGAACACTGGCAGGCATACTGATGGGAGCTGCGACAAACACCGGACGACTATTGTGCTTCCCTAAACAAACCCCTTCCGATGGGTATCCAACCGGAGAGGTACCTGTATACATACGTTGATGAACAGGGTGTGTGTTGCGTTCAGGAGAGGATGGTAGGCTGCTATGGCACAGCGCTGCGATGCCACAACATCTAACTGCACAGTGTCATGACACAGTATAACATGTACATCAACATCGTTTGGAAGAGATGCGCGACGAATTATTGAGAGTCAGAGATGGAAACGGGAGCAGCCTTGGGGTTGCCAAAGAAGGTGCTGCTGGAAACTGAGGAATCAGATGCAGATGGCATAAGGTCCAAGACCTAGCGAAGCATTCAAGATGAAGGTCAAGCTGACTCCAACAGCAAATGGCTTCTTCAAGGTAAAAATGCCAGAAGGTAACTTTGCCAGCATGACCACCCGCAGAGGAAGGACTGGCACAACTCCAGCGAAAGACGGACATGGGTACACAGGTTAAGAATGGTTCAATGGGTGGAGACAGAGAATCTCAATTCAGGGTCATAGTTCTCCGCGCGAAGCAAAGTGGAAGGAGGCCCCACGTGTCTAGACGGGACAATAATGAAGTTATTGAGTACAATGGTGAGAAGTCACACTGGCGGTAAACCCATCTGTAGAAGAGAACCAATCAAGGCTGCCAGAAAATCTGCTCTTTTATCTGACCCATTTCGACTTGTCACTAGCAAGGAACTGCGCTGCCATCCCCATTACAAAAACAAAAGAAGTAAAGAGGGGAAAACAGAAAACGATAAGAAAAAGCCTGTTAAACGACCAATACCTCCGCGCCCTTTTCGCCGAGGCGGAGTAGAACTGCGCACCAAGCTTGGCCTAAGAGCCAGTGCAACCTTTTTTCTTTTGCTTTGGCTGGCGCCGCCAGCCATTTTTCGGTCCGGTAGCACCTTGCCTCCAAAGAATGCAGCATAGGTTATATTCACGACTTAGCCGAAAGGTATAGGTGGTTTAAGACATCAGATTAGATCCCCAAAACCCACTTGGACATAACGACTGCGTAGGTTTTTTTTTATTCCAGCTAGCATGGTAGAGTGAAGTCGTACCCATCAAGAAGATAATGCATGAGGTGATAGATCTAAGACACAAAGAAAAAGCGACTGTCAATCACACGAGTTTGTGGATCACACGAGCCAACTCACCTTCGTAACACCTTTCATTGCCTCGGCCATCGCCTGTGTCGACTTGAGTGTCTGAAGATGAACACAGACAAGAGGCAAAAGCAGCACAAAGATGAACAACAATAGCACTGCCATTAGCACGAACCGGCCACAACATCACCACTCTCCCTGGCATTCTGAAACTGCCCACAACCCTGCACTACCCATCAACCAACCGCCCATTCTCTTACCCAAAGAGATCCATGGCACTGATAAAAAAATTCACCGCCTAATTCCAAATGCGGGATAACCAATAGAAATTGCAGAAACCAATACCACAAGACCTACCTTCTTCCCCTGAACATAACGGATACGCGTTGTATTCGAGTTTTTGAATTTGAAAAAAAAAATGAATAGAACACATACGCGTTGCATTCAAAATTTAGGGCTATTCAAATAGAACGCATATGCGTTGTATTCGAATAAAACGCACCCTATGACTTGTATTCGAATAAAATGCACCCTATGTGTTGTATTCGTTTACAACGCATGTGTTATGTTCGGGGGAAGAAGGTAGTAGCACGTGCAGCGACTAACCACCTTGGCGACTGCTTCATCCCATCTAAAAAAACTTTGCAATCACTTCCATAGCTCTGCCTCTCAAGAGTCAAGACGGGAACAAAACCCAAGATAGATTGCCTTCCAACACGTGAACAAACGATGCGCCATTGAAGTAAGACCTTCCCAAATATAGACATAAACTAACAGTCGAAGCTAGAATGCAATTCAACGAACCCGCCAGAATTGTTTTGAAGACCTCAGCTGTCCTGTGCTACATTTCACTTGCAGTTCCAAGCACTCGACGGGGAAAAAACTAGGCGTGACATATCACCCCGTGTTTAATAATTGAGGCGGGCAGCGCAGGCATCAACACGTGTTACTTCCTTCTCTGCCAATCGTCTGGACAACACATCAAAAGGAACTGAGCCATATCAGAGTTATAAGCATTTCTTTCTGCCCGCCACCCCCCTCCAACCCCCCCTCCCCCACCAAGTCCTTATCTGACGCTGTCCCTATTCTAAGCACAGTGGCATGCAACAAAACTGTGGACCACTCCTCTGAAAGAAAGCCCGCGTACAGTGACTACCGAACCCATGTCAGGAAAATTTTACACCAGCATGCGGTCGACTTATCAGTAGATCTGGCGGTTAGTTTGGTTTGCTGATTAACTGGGGTCAGTTGCGCCTAAATCGACGGACTTGGACCGTGAAACCAAGCACATCCAGAATTGAAACCAGCCCATAGGGAGATAGCTACCAATTCTTCTGGCAAAGTAGGCATGAGATCCCTGCTACTGAGGCAACAGAGTTGCATCACTTTTCTCCCAGATGAAGGAATGCCCCCCCGTTGTCTTTGAAATTTGGGGGTGCTGTGCGCAAAAATAAACAGAAGTTCGCAATGCTATCTGCACGATTCTGCAAGCACCCCCAAATTTTAAAGACGAGGGGCAAAAAACGGCACACCTGGCCCCCTGACTTCTCACTCCAGTCAATATCCACAGCCTCCTAGCAGCCATCCAAAAGAAATGCAGCTAACAAAGATCTCAAGTGCCTTACAGAGTTCGCCTACATACCGCCAGAAGGCCCCACAGCCTCCTACCGTCTTCACCCCAATAGAACGCCAGGTAATTATTGTCGTATCTGGACTGAAAGTTGCACCAAATACAGATATAACGACCGTGCGTTCTATTCGGGTGAAGACGGTAGCACCCACCCGAAAAGAAAAGCAGTTAGCGAAGGTCTGAAGACTCTGACGTGGCCAACAAAGTTTGCCTACATACCACCAGAAAGGTCCTTTTTTTTCCTTCTTTTCTTTTCTTTTCTTTTTTTGAAGGATGGCGGCCTTGAGATATGATCACGGAACTGACCGGCCCTAGGTAATTCATTCATCTGCTTCCAGTAGAGTTCGAACTCAGGTCTGTATTTCAACAGTTCCGAACAGTTCAGGAGTTTACACGAACTTTACGGCCTATACACAGAACTTACCGAGATCCTTAATGAGACACCTTGCAACTGCGACTTCAAGCCGTAAAATTTTGTAATCTGATGCCGCGTCCGTATAAGATCCTTCGCCATCACCTTCACCGCTGGCTGCAGCAGCACAGAGGACAACCATGCAACCATCAGTTCACAGTATTTGCAAATCGCTCGCAATCAGTCATGCAAAACGGCTTAAGGGAGAATACACATGCGGGGAACAGATTACAGAGCACAGTGCAAAAGAACATGGCAAAAGCTTTTCTGTCCATAACTTCTCTCCCTGCCTTCCCCCTCCTCCCTCCTTCCTCCCCCCTTGCCATCCCCTCTTCATTCCCTTCTTTCCCTGCTCCGTCTTTTCCTGGTAAGGATAGTGGAACAGAAAGGCGCTGTGGACACAGACTAGGCGCCTGCCTGTGCCATCCGCCAGATGTAAAAATAAATCTATCAGACTTGGAACAAGACACTCGCCACGATTCAACAATTGGTGAGGAGTGCAACGTGACCCTAGCCTTATCACTCATTTGGGATCTACATCTTCATCTGTAACATAACGAACCAGCTGTTCAGCCCCCCGTTTGTGGCATATCTGTATTGTACGGGGCCACCAACTGCTTAGCCCAGTGTTCACTTGAATATATAACCTGGTTTCGGGGTGAGTATTGTACGGGGCCGCCAACTGCTTAGCCCAGTGTTCACTTGAATATATAACCTGGTTTCGGGGTAAGTAGGCAATACCGACAGGCTCATTCCGAGGTTAACATCCACTCCCCCCCCCTTCCCCCCCCCCCCCCCCCCCCCCCCCCCCCCCCCCCCCCCCTCTCTCTCTCTCTCTCTCTCTCTCTCTCTCTCTCTCTCTCTCTCTCTCTCTCTCTCTCTCTCTCTCTCTCTCTCTGTGTGTGTGTGTGTACCTCTCCCTGGGCACAGGGATTTCGAACCTGAGTGAATGGACACAGACGACAGGATGGGGGGAATCTGATTGAAAAGGGCAGCAAGGTTCATGGGGAAGAGAATAACGAAACCATATTTAAAGAGTGGATTTTGAGTTTTCCCTTACAATCTGGCCTTGCTTGGCAGCTTTTCTTATCTCTCCTATGAGTTTCTTCTCCTGCTGCTGAAGCCCCATTCTTTCCCGATCCAGCTCTCTGATGGAACGGTCCAACATTCGTTTCTTCTCCCGCAAGAGTTCTGTGGCCACCACGAGAAGAAAGTAACAGGAAAAACAGGTTCACCAATATATTGTCACATAACTAAGAACTAAAAGAGCGCACTTTGCGAAACAAACTGTAAAGATTGAAAAAAAAAAAAAAAAAAAAAAAAAGATGAGGGGCACACAAACTATTAATTATTCTCGTTCTTCTTTTTAACTCCCCCTTCACCATGCCTCTCACGTACAAGGCTTGCCACGTTGATAAATTTATGCAAGCTGCCCGCATCCCCGTGTGCCATAACGGCCCACTTGTACGCTGTGAGTGATAAACACAAGGAAGAGAGATGAAGAGGAATGAAGAACGAAAAAGGGAAAGTAAGGATAAGAAAAGGCTCCAGAATGAGTGTCCTTGACGACAGAGAGGACACATTGTAAGGATGAAGTGGATGGGCACATCGAAGACCTAGCTGAGCATTCTCAGCACAACAATTGCCACGACGGCTGGCATTGAGCATGCCCACCATACACTCCCCCGACAAATGGCATGTTCATTGCAGGCCAAAATGAAGGAAGAACGCTCACCACAAAAGACCATCCATTCAGTACAGCTCCCATGGCCTCAAAATGGACATATAGTGTCCGGATGTGGAGGGTGCCTGCAGTCAGGAACGGGGGGACAGTCTACACACATAGATGCAGAAACCATGTCACTGTAGTGATCGTGACAGAGACGATGACGGCCACAGCCGAGTGTAACAGTGTCTGTAGCAGTGCAAAGGAGAAGGTCACAGAGCGTTGGTGCATTGTCCTGCTGCAGCACGGGGCCAGAGGGATGATCTTCAACATAAAAAAGATTGCGGACAGTTTTGTGTGGCAAGAAAACAGCATAATTATGTAAGAAATCGGTAACATCAGTCATGACACGGACCATGATGCCGTTGTCCCACAACTCTCAGCGGTCGGACGTACGTACAATGGCCATATAACGGCCAGGTCCATGCACAGTGCAGGCAGAGATGTCGGATGGCGGATTAAACCACTCACCTGCTCGAGCATCGCGTAGCTCAAGTTGGCGGTCGCTCATTGCTACTCGTAGGACAGCAATGGTAAAGCCTCTTTTTCCCTGGTATAATTACAATCCTCTGGCTGTAGGCGGGGGAGATCAGGATCATGCTGAAGAGCGATTGCAAGGAAGTCCGATGGTGTATAAAACGGGCGGTGGAAAATGTGAAGACAGATATTAGTTGCAGTCAGACCACAGAGATTGGTGAGGATCTCAGGCTGGTATGCCAGATGCTGGCCAACAATTTGCAGATCACCCAGTCGGTGTTGCAATACCAAAATGTCTTGGGTTGCTTGCTGGTCAGTCATTTGCAGATCACCCATGTGGTCTGCACGTGGGGGGGCACAAATTTGTGGTTCATCCAAACGATGATGGTCAGCCATTTGCAGATCCCCCATGTGGTCGACGCCTTGTGGGGTTGACTGCAATCCAGGCAGATCATGTTCCAATCCCTCAACGTGTGGGGCCGCATCCTGAGTAGGGACTGTCCCTGGAATCGGGAGTGTACTCTGTCTGGGCAGGGACCACATCCTGTCGTACAGGTGAGTCATGAATATCTAACGCTAAAGGGCATAAAACATGGTGCTGTGGCTGCCTGCAGCCAGCTGGACTGTCTACAGGAGGCATAGGAGCAGATATTGCCGTTTGGAACAAAGGAACTGCAGCAACATAGAGAATTGAGGCAGGCACATAGAGAATCGGGGCAGACAAAGAAACAGGCTGTTGATCCCCTGACAAGTGACGATGTCGCGCATATCGTTGACGATACACAACAAGAGGAGTAGGGGTGTTGCAAACAGAAGATGAACACGTCCCTGGCAACAAAGGTGGAACGGTCGAGCTGCAGACACAAAGAGGAATGATGCGGGTACATGCTGCCCCCCCGCCCTAATAGAGGGTGGCCAGGGAGTAGGGTCTGTCTCTTATACACATCTAGATGTGTATAAGAGACAGGTATAAGTGAAAGAATGGAACGGTCGAGCTGCAGACACAAAGAGGAATGATGCGGGTACATGCTGCCCCCCCGCCCTAATAGAGGGTGGCCAGGGAGTAGGGTGGGGCTGCTGACGAGGAGGGGGGGGGGGGGGGGGGGGGGGGCGGCAGCTGATGCAAAGACCGAACATTTTTCACTAATATGTATAAGTGAAAGAAAGGAACAGTCGAGCTGCAGACACAAAGAGGAATGCAGCGGGTGCATGCTGCCCCGCAACCCTAATAGGCGATGGTCAGGGAGTAGGGTGGGACCGCTGACGGGGGCCCAGCTAATGCAAAGAGCGAGCATTTTGCCAAAAGCTGCGCCTCCCATCTTCCTCCCCTACCCCAATCGGGTAACAGCAGTGTCTAAAACACTGCTCGGTGAGGAGGAGGGAGAGGAATCAAGCCCGTGTCAAAAAAAGAGCTCCCATTTTGACTGCATCTGAACTTAATCTCGTACATAGTGAAATACCAGTCAAAATGCAGAGGATGCGCTTTGCGAAATAGGTTCCAATAACAGTTAAATAGCAGAGGATGCACTTGAAAAGTGAGTAAAAAGGTAGGCAGCAGCAAAATCAATAGGCAAGAGGACAGGGAAAAGGGGCCAAATAGCAACAACCCCAAAAGCGCAAGGCCGCCTAACACCACTTCTCGGTGAGGAGGAGAGGGGAGGGATCAAGCCTGTGCCAAAGAGCGATGTAACACAATTCAGTGCGGTGAAAAGGAACATCGGGTCTGAAGAAGAAGAAGAAGAAGAAGAAGAAGAAGACCATAACAACGTGACAGGAGGGAGCGCCAAGAAAAGGTGTGAGAAAGATAAGCAAGTGGAAAAAAGAAGGTACACGAAGGAGGAACGGAGAGACAAGAGGCCTTGCAGCTTAGCTCTCTATGATGGAGAAACAGAGGATCGCCTTTCCGGAGGGACCTGCACACTCATTATTGAATCAATCAAAATCAAATCAATCAAATTAAATCAAATCAAATCAATCAAATCAAATCAAATCATTCAATCAAATCGATCAAATCAATCAAATCGAATCGATCAAATCCAATCCAATCCAATCCATCAAATTAATCAACTCAGTCATATTAAATGAAATCAGTCGATCGATTAAATCAATCGATCGAACAAATCAATCCGCCAATCAATTTATCAGATAAACAATTCGCGATCAATCCATCAATCGAGTCACACTCAGCAATCACTCTGTGAATAAATCAAGCAAACAAAAGAACAACTACATCAATATTGTGTGATAGGAAACATTCAATTACTCAACTCCACTACTACGATCACCCAATCAAATCAAATCACGCATTTAATCCAATCAAATCACGCAATTAATCAACAACCGAATCACGCAATTAATCAAACTAAATCAAGTCACGCATTTAATCAAATGACATAAATCAATCACGCATTGAATCAAATTAAATCCACTCGCGCATTTAATCAAGTCATGTCGTGCGTTTGATCACATCAAATCACGAGTTTAATCAAACCAAATCCCGCATTCAATCAACTAAAATCCAATCAAATCACGCGCTTACTCAAGCCAATCTAACATATGGATGATATCACCCCCCCAGTAGCCTGGCGAGGTTAAAAAAAAAAA